TAAAAACCTCCTGGGCCACCCCTTGTAAAAATGTCTAGCTCCGCCCCTGGAGAACCAGTTTGCTTCTTTTTTTTTCCACCTTTCATCACAAACAGACTTTTAAGGTTATTTTTGTTTACAAACAGGAACTTAGAGAAATTTTAACTTGAACATTTGCTTTTTTTCCCTTAAGTTATTTAAATGACACGCCACTAAACTTGTTTAGTGTTGATTTTCTTTAAACATACGTCCATCACAACTATCTGAAATAAAAGTAAAAATATTGCTCTGTCAGCAAAAAGATCTTGTGTGAAAGCGTGAGACAGGAAACCCGACGGTCTCTGCACAGATGAGTCATTTTCCCAGCACGCCCCAGGAGGGGTTGGTGTTTATATAAAAGTGGCTCCAGGCTCAGAGCTCGCTCAGGATGGCAGCTGGTGACGGTAATTAAAGCAGGGTTTTAATTACAGATGAGCTCAGAGGCCCTCTGGGTCTCTGGAGTTTCAGCAGTTCAGTGAGGGGATAAAGACATCAGCTGTTTGGGAGCGTTATCTTTCGACTGCTCACCATTTAACGTCGTCGTTGTGACCGAGGTAGTGTCTCTGCTGCTGCTCCTCCGTGTTGTACAGAACCACCACCGAGGCGTTGAAGTAAACAATCTCACCTGTGGGCAGCAGGTAGAGGTTGGAGCGGCAGTCACGGCCGCGATATCCGTACCTGGGTCAGGTCTGAGTCAGGGAACCATCCAGGCTTCGGCTGTTTGACAACGAGTCTCAGATGAGCCAAAACTTTTCACCTCATCGATAAAATAATAGGTTCAGAACCACAATCCCTTCTTTTAATTACTGAAAATATACTTCCTGCTGAAACTCAGCACAGATGAACGGCTGCTGAAATCTGCTGAACAAGATGAAATAAAAGCAAAACGAGCTAAAAGATAAAAGTAGCAACAACGCTAACTAAAGAGTAGAAAACAAAGGTAAAATATAGCAGCTAAAATTAAAGATAAAAGGATAGCTAAAAGTAGCATAACACTAAGCTAATTGTAAAAGACTGATAGCTAAAAGCTATCAAACCCTAGAAAAGCAGAATAGTAACTAATGTCTGAACATAGCTGAACAGTAGCTAAAAGACAAAAGTAGTAACAACGCTGAGTAAAGGCAGAAAGTAGCAACAATGCTAACTAAAAAGAGAATAGTGGCGTGAAAATAAGAGTAAAATATAGCAGCTAAAAAAATCAAAGGAAAGCTAATACTAGCATAACACTAGCTAGAAGCTAATTGTAAAAGAATGATAGCTAAAAACAAAAAGCATCAAAAAGCTAGCTAAAACAAGAAGAATAGTAACTAAAATGTGATTATAGCTGAACAGTAGCGAAAAGTAGAAAAACTCTAGGAGTTAAGATAAGCAGAACAGCAGGTAAAAGCATCAAAAGTTAGCTGAAAGCGGCAAACTAGCTAAAAGTAGCTGAATGAAAGTTTCAAAACACCAAGTAGAAGCTAAAAAGAGTGGTAGCTAAAAGCAACAAGTATCAAAAGGCTGCTTAAAGCTAAAAGAAGATGTTAACTAAAAGCTAAAAGTAGTAGAATTATAGCTAAAATAATACTTTTAGCTTGAAGCTAAAATATCAGAAGGCTAGTTTAACGATAAAAGTAGCAAAACAGAAGCTAAAAGGTATGGTGAATGTTTTTAAAGAATTCAGCAGATCAGAAAACGTGAATGTGAACGCTAATTTAATAATAAATAATCTTTCATTTTCTCTTTACTGAATAAATTTAATTTAAATATAATTGTAAAACAAAGTGTTTAATCTGGATTATTCCTGCATGTCTCAGATTGAAGGATACACCCACTGAAGCTTCAGCTTTTTGTCCGGGAGCGCCACCTTCTGGTCGAGGCTGAAGCTCTCCCGCCGCTGGTCGGGGACGTGCACGGTGACCGGACGACCTCGGAGGAACATCCTCACGTAGCCGTCCTCTGGAGGAAGAGGAGGGGCGGGGTTAACGGAGGAGGAGACAAAGGGGTGGGGTTAACAGAGGAGGAGACGAAGGGGAGGGGTTAACAGAGGAGGAGATGAAGGGGCGAGGTTAACGAAGGAGGAGACGAAGAGGCGGGATTAACAGAGGAGGAGACGAAGGGGCGGGGTTAACGGAGGAGGAGACGAAGGGGCAGGGTTAACAGAGGAGGAGACGAAGGGGCGGGGTTAACGGAGGAGGAGACGAAGGGACGGGGTTAACGGAGGAGGAGACGAAGGGACGGGGTTAACGGAGGAGAAGACGAAGGGACGGGGCAAAAGATTTTTAGTGTTTGTTTGATAAAATAATAATAAAATTGCAACAAAGTAAATTATTAAAATGCCAATTCAAAACAAAAAGCTCCCTCAGGAGGCTCTTAATGAAGAAAACTAATTAAATGTTGCAAACGCTTGGAAACAGTGAAAATCAAGACATCAATACGGTTCATTTAAATATAAACAGCCAGCTTTAGTTCTAACTTTCCTTCCTAACGTTAATTAAAAGAAACTATCTGCAGTTTCTACAGTCAGGATTATCCTGTCAGAATAGTTGAAGTGATAGATTCAAACTGTGATGATACACTGACAACAAACACTGATGTAAAGGTTTTTACCTGCATTGAAGGTGCATTCTTTGGATTTGCTGAAACAAGAACAGATTTAAATTAAAAGAAGAAACAGAAACTCCAACAGATAACGAGTGTTTTCCACAGCTTTTCTTAAATGAATTAGCTCCGGGCCGACTGATTTAATCTTGGCTCTGCACGCTGCAGGCCTCGATGCACAGTTTAACTGGATGACGGAGTCGCAGAGTCAGCAGAAACACAAAGACAGCACACATCATTTCAACCAGGCTGTGGAAAACAAACAGCTTCTGTCTGTGATCCTCAGAGACAGAAACACCTTTAATCAGGGAGCCGCAAACGACAAGATCTGCAATAAAACATGTTTTTAACACAAAGAAAATCATCGTCAGAGCAAGAGAAACCAGAAAAATAAACACAAAAAGCTTTTTATTTCTCAAAAACAAATAAACAACCATAAACAACCACAAACCTGCAACAGTTTGATCAAAACATTAACAGAAAATAAGGGAACAGTCCCACTAATAGCACAACTAGCCTCTCATTTAGCAGATTAGCTTTTTTTACTAACTTTGGTTAGCTTCTGCTAAATTAGGTTCTGCTACTTTTAGGTCTTTAGTGTAAAACTTCTATTTTTTATTCAATTTATCTGGGATTAAATAAAACCGACCTGCTTTACAAGCAGTGCTGGGCGTCACGTGACCTGGGAATTATTTACAACGGAGAAGTTTACGCATCGAGCTAATGCTAATGCTAATCATCAATTTTAACAAGGAGAACAAGGCACGGTCCAAACAAATTCGTAATAAATGTAAAAATGGCACAAATGCTTTGCTGTAAACTGAAGAAATTAATAAAACAAGCTTATAAGAACAAAAAGGATTGTGTTTCACAGGCAAATTCCATTGTGAATGCTCGACAATCTGTGTTTTATTTACTATTAACTTAGGCCATGTTTTTCTCTCCTGCATTCCTTATGTTTTTGTGTATTATTGTATATTTTGAACTGCACTAACCTTGTGTTTGATTTACAATTTTTGAAATAATTTTCTTGATTTGATGTTTCAATTTTTCGTTGCTTATGTGTAATTGTGTTTTTCTGCTTCATTTTATTCTTTCCACCATTTTTATACTGTTAATGATTGTACAGCACCTTGTGAATATATTTCTGTGAAAGACGCTTTATAAATAAAACTTTACTTACTTACTTAAATATAAAAAATTTAACAAAAATATTGATTTAAACTGTAAAACCTGTATGCTAACAATCAAAAAGCTTCAATCGTCACGTTTAACCTTTAGAACTGATTATCTGTTGTTAAATATGTTATTTACTAGGGATGTAAGAAAATATCGATACACTGAAATATCGCGATATTTCATTTCCCGATACTGTATCGATATTCTAAAGCCCTGTATCGATTTTTTATTAAGGTTTAAAATGTCAACTTTCCTGCCAGCCGTTCATTTTTATGTTGTAGTTCAGCCTCTGACCACTAGTTGGCAGCAGTGAGCCAGCCATTTGGCTGCTCTACCTCTTGAGGTAGAGGCTATTGTTAAGTGTTGGGTGACCATATTGTAAATTAATATTAAAAACTAAAAGTTGCAAAAACATTTTCAAACTTTATTGGCAAATTAAGTCTAATAATTGAAAACATGGATGAAATAAGAAATATGAAACAAATACAATAAAACACATACAAAGCAGAACACAGCTAAATGTATCAAAAGTGTGTCTATGTAATATTAGAATTTTCTGAGACAATGAATTTTGGTTTTTCATTTTTCTTCCCCAGTAAGAGGTTTTTATTTAATAGAATTTTTGGACAAAAAAAATCACAATATATCACGATATATCGCCTTGCTTATAGTATCGCAATATATCGCGATATATCGCCTTGCTTATAGTATCGCAATATATCGCGATATATCGCTTTGCTTGTAGTATCGCAATATATCACGATATATCGCCTTGCTTATAGTATCGCAATATATCGCGATATATCGCCTTGCTTGTAGTATCGCAATATATCACGATATATCGCCTTGCTTATAGTATCGCAATATATCGGGATATATCGTATCGTGACCCCTCTGTCATGATATGTATCGTATCGCCAAATTCTTGCCAATACACAACCCTAATATTTACTGATAATAAAGTGGTCAAATATGGACTTTTAATGGAGTTCTGAGCAGTTAGACTGCATAATAATTTATAAATTATGATGTGGACTCGCTAATGACAGAAACACAGTGATGATATGATTGAAAGGTCATAACGTAAAGTAATAAAGGCGACAGGCCAGTTTTATTTACGTTATTTTTAGTTTAACCAATGTGTTTTCTTTTACAGATGTCCTGCTGTCCATCAGATGCATTTTTTGTCATTAAATCACTTTAAATCACTTTAAATCACTCTTAAAGTCATTATTTCTTTTTGTGGTCAGCCCTGAAACATCTTTTGAACATTTCAGAAAAGTCTGCGTCTCTGAATTTAAAAATACAAGTCATGACTCGGCTTCACTGTCGCAGCCAATAATTAGACCTGTCAATCAAAAACCGTCTGATCAGCTGCTCCTGAATCAGCCGTCTGTCAACCAATCAGCTGAGGCGTGGGTCGCACAGAAAGCTTGGGGGTTTGCTCTTTATTCTCACTAACAAGGGAGAGTATTTATAACAGAGCGTTTGATGAATGACAAGCAGAAGGTTTGTTAAACACACTTTGACTTTAAGTCAATAAAATCTTTTCATGTTGTCATAAAGCCTCTGAGATCAAAGCTGCTTTCAGCTTCAACATGAAGGACATGAAAGAACCACCAGGTCCTGGTCCGCCTGCGACCAGCAGGACCACAAGCAGGGTGTCGTCTCTGCACAACCACAAAGCCCCGTGTGTGTGTTTGTGTGTGGGTCTGCGAGGACAACAAGGTGTGGCCCGGACCGGTAATTAGAGCAGGGCATGCTGGGTAACCGGCTGCCAAGTAGAGCAAATAATCTAAAGCCCCTTTCTGTGTAAGAGCGAGCCTCCAGGTTTCCAGGAAAAAGGAACGCACAAACAAAAGCTTCATTAGCATGCAGGCCGCAGCGCTGAGCTCTGCAAACACAAAGCTGCACCACTCAACAAACACACAACATTTTGTAACAATTCACTTTAACGCTACACACACGTTAACCCTGCAGAGGCCAACTGCTCAGATCAAACTCAAGTTTTACTTTAATCAGGCTTTTATAAACCTTTATGTTAAAGAAATTAACAAATTAAAAACATTTTAACTGATCTTAGATGCACACAAGACCCTTTTTAAACTTACACAAGTTAAACTAGTTTATTAACCCATGAAACTCCACTGGTTTTATTTTAGGCTGTGGATTGAACTTTCCCTCCGTGCTGTCATCCAGGCTGATTAATAAAACCTGGATGTTTTATTGAGAGAAACTGTTTATTAAAACGGTTGTTTTCAGGCAGCTGTTGAGCACAAACAACGTGTTCAAACAGTTTTTATAAAACTTGAAGCAGAGATGAAGCACGGCAGGAAGAGGACTTCAAGTGAGAGGAAAGGATCTCAGTTGCTAACCCGTTATAATTATTATTAATTATTAACCCATTAACAACGTGACGCTTCAAACCATTCACACCACTGAGATCATTTCTAATCCGTACGTTTTTTTGGCTCCTTCCTCGTTCCACAATTTATGTGCTGCTTCAACAACTCATAAATCAAAACGTTCGGCTCATTCAGGACTTTCCAGCTGTGACTTTTGATTTTTCTGATATTTATCCTTTTTTAGTTGTTTCACCTTTTCAGCCACTTTTTTCTCATTGAAAACGAATGGAGCTGTTTAAAAACAAAAGTCACTGATGATGAAGAAACTAATATTCAGCTCTATTTTCTACAGAAGTGGCTAAAAAAATAAATAATAAAATAAATGAATGAGTTTTCAACATCCTTAAAATCCATCAAAAAGTTTCTGAACCTTTGTTCTGCTATATTCAGCTATTTGCTCCAAACCGGTGCTCTTTATGCTTCCTTCTGCTGATTAAAACATTTCCAGCTTTTTTTTTTTTTGGCTGTTTTAGCTACTTTTCTACATATGATGACTTTTCTAGGCAGTTTTTTCTGCTAATTTTACATCTCTGTGCTTCTTTCAACTTGTTTCTGCTACCTACAGCCTACTTTTATGCTAATTTTAGCCTTTTTTTTGGCTGTTTTAGCTAAAATTCTACTTTAACTGTAATATTCAACTTTATTGTAATTATTTCTGATAATTTAAGCTGTTTATGTTTCCTACAGTTGCTTTCTTTTATAGTCTGTTGTTTTAGCATTTAGATTTTAGCTGTTGTCTGGTTTTTTTGTTCATTCCTACTTTTTTCTGCAAAGTTAAGAGGATTTTTTTCCCTTTCAGCTTTTCAAATTGAACTCACATTAACATTTTTGCTACTAAACAAGCTTTCAGCTGAAGTTTTCAGCACGTAGCATTCACACAAGCGTTTTCACAGGAAATGCATTTCTCTGGTTTTATTCATTATCGTCAGGAGACAAACTGCAGGAAACGGATCAGAGTCACTAATGGACCCATGGGTCCATCTGCTGATCCATTAGTTTCTGTATTTTATCAGTGCTTGTACTTAAAAATGCAGATTTCAAACCATGTTTGATGCTTTTAGTATCAGATAAACGTCCAAGTGGTGCAAAATATTTCCCTTTAATCAAATCCAGGAACAATGTGCTGCATGTAAATCTAATTAATAACTGCAGCAGGTGTTCCTCCAGCTGCAGGCTGAGCCTGTCATCCTGCAGGAAGTAAAATCTTCAGTTAACATGTAGAAAAGTTAATAATCAGAGGTAGTTTGTGTGAATAAAAGCCAGCAGGTTATTTAAGGAGTTCTTTCTGTTCACCTAAAGCCCACCTGTCTGTTTTACCACCAATAAAACAACTAATGAAACAGAGACGTGTCTTTAAACGTTTAACATATTACAAAACAAACAACTAAAATGATTCTGAGCCTCCTGAGCCCTCGGCTCGTGTTTTCTTCATGTCGGCGTGCTGCTGCCCCTCCCTGCAGCCCTGCAGATGGAGGTCATCATCGGTTTGCGTGACAACAGTTTCACGAAGCGACTTCCTCAGGCTGTGGTGAGCTGACACAACAGATTGTTCCTAACTTCAGCTACAAGTGAAGGAAGTTCAGCAGCTAAAGCTGCATCACTGGGAGCAAACACAAACTAGTCAAACGTTAGTCAAACAGCAGCTGAAGATAAAACTGGGTGTGACTAAAACCTCTCTTATCTTTGAGTTACAAAGTGAAGCTACACATGCTCCCACACAAACACACACCTGAGGGGTGAGTTAAACTCTCAGTGATAAAGCTTCTGACAGAACGATGCAGTTTACCTGGAGGATCGCTTCATGTCTGCCTGCTTCCTTCCAGAGTCAGCAGCTGTGTGTCTGTTCGACAGCCACAGCAACACAACTACTTCCTGCTTCACACAAAACTTTGAGCTCAGCCTGAAAAACCTGCAGCCAATCAGAACACAGTTCCTGACTGTCAGGACACGCCCACTCTGCACTGTCACCACGCCCCCCACCTTTCTGAGAACTGAAATATGATCCATCAGCTGGAGGAGAGAGAGAGAGAGAGAGAGAGAGAGAGAGAGAGAG